CTAGGGCGCTCTACACGGGGCTGTGACGGACGGAGCGGGTCGCCAGGTCCGCCTCTGCTCCCGAGCCTCGGGGCGCTCTGCACCAGAGCTACTGGCCCTGCTGTCTGCGTCCTCACTCACCCTGAGCACAGGCTGCGTCCCCTGTAGCCCTGACGTCGGCGCACCCTATAGCTAAGACCGGAGCGGTCCCTGGGCTTTGGTTCACAGGGTGGCTGGCCTGGCTCTGGGGCACCAACTGTGTCATCATCCCACGGGACAGCTGGCGCCAGTTCCCCCAGTCGTGGCGTCTGTTTGCTGCCCAGGCTTGCTGACAGCGCTTGGTCCGTTCACGATGAACGGAAACCACCTCAGTGCTTAGTCCAGTTCTCGCCCTCGGCCTTCCAGCGGTCTAGCTGAAGGTGGGACGTGCTCTCGTCCTCAGCAGCCACAGGCCTCAGGAAAGCTGTGGAAGAGCCCAGTCATGACAGGGTGAAGGGGCAGGGCAAGGGCGTGTTGCAGGAAGCGAGGGAGCGTGCGGGGCTGAGGGACTAGCACACAGGTGACGCTGCCTCCAGTGACGTTCAGGTGTCTCCGTGAGAATGCTGGCCGTGAATGTTCACGTGTGTGCATGCTCACAGTGGGCTCAAAAAAAATTTTTTTAAGAATTACTTTATTTATTTTTATTTGACCAGAGAGGGACAGAGTGAGAAAGAGAGAGATGGAAAGTGTGAAACCAAGCCGCTAGGTCTGAGACTCGCACCTCAGTCGGCTGTGTGGGAGTCCAGTGCCCTTAATCACCACGTCACCTGCTGGCCCCTAGGCTCTGCAGTTGAAAGTAAGGGCAGTGAACAGCTCGCAGGCATAGTCCTGGGTGACGACCCCACGGCCCTGCACTGCACACCTGGAGCAAAGCACGCGGCCCCTGCCACGAATCCTCCCTCAGAGCCTCCAGCGTATGAGGGCGAGGGATGAAGCACCCGTGCAGGGGGGACTGACTGTTAGTGGAGGGCGCGTGCATGACCAGGCGGGCCGTGTCTGCTGCCACTGCCACGCACTTGCTTCAGGAAGGCGGGCACGGGCAGGGCGTGGCACAGCGGTGATGTGAGGACGTGGCGTGAAAGTGGGATGGCAGCAGAGTGGCCTCCAAGGGGCAGCACCCAGCCCGGAGCGCCATGAGGCCCGAGCGCCGGGGCATGCCGTGTTCGGAGCATTGCCGAGGTGCCCCAGGCCGAGCGTTGGGGAGAGACTGCAGTTCTGAGACTTCAGGGCTACGGCACTCCCACAGGCTGAGGGGGCTCCTGAATGGGGAGGGCCTGTGAGTGGGCCCCTCAGTTCCGGGTGACCCAGAGCACAAGGAGACGCCCGATGCAGGAGGCAGGAAGGGACGCCATCCTGACGCACAATGGGCAGCTCTCCTGTGGGCGGGCAGGCCCCATAGTGGGGACCTCGTCCTCGAGTGGGTGCGGTGCACCATCACACCGGGCTCCTGTCCTGCAGAGACGCCCACGGCAGTGTTGCGTGTGTCACGGACGGGGGTGGCAGGGAGAAGCCCGCGCTGGAGGGTTCCGTGAGGTCTCCCCCACACTGTTGGTGAGGGAGTGACCGTGTAGACGCAGGGCACATTGTCACTGGCTGCCTGGTAGAGGGCGTAGGAGAGGCAGTGTAGGTTCTAGGAGGTGCCTTCCAGCACAGTCAGGTGGGCGAACTGCCCCACCATGTTCAAGAGGCGGTCTCGGCCCGTTGGAATGCAGGCGTCTTTACTGTCTCCTGTCTTACCTCCTGTGTCTCAGTGACCTGCAGAGCAGGCGGTAGTCAGCTCGGGATGTGCGGCTTTCCGTTACAGGGCCGCAGAGGTCCCCCGACGTGGCCCCATGGTGACACCCCTTCCCTTGGGCTGTTGTCCACGGCACACCTGGGGTCCAGCCTGCACGTCCTGTCCGTTTCTTGTGCCTGCCTGCTCCTGTCCAGGTTCCTTGTCGCTGGGGATCCCTGGGGGATGGTCTGTCCCTCCCACCTGTGTGAAAACCCGGCCCAGGGTCGTTTCCTGGGAGCTCTCTGGGGCCTGCCCCCCCCCCCCCGGCCCGCCGGGCGGGCGGGAGGGGGGGGGCTCTGC